GCTCGCCGATCGGTTCCCCTGCAATCAGCAAGAATCTCAACGGCCTAGAGCTTGACGTATTCCACACGCTAACTTGATCCCCTGTTCCAAACACCACAACACTGTGTGCTTCTACTGTGGAAGAGTCCCAGGAGCTAAACACGCCTTCATCGCCTTCTATAACGTAGGCGAAGGCGGTCCATGTCTCTGGAACGGTCTGGTGGGTTTGAGACCTTGGCTCGAGAGTAAAGTCAAGAAACATGATTGGTGTTTTTGTATAGAATGGTGATTGCACTCCCATTGATTCTCCGGCTATGACTTTGACCTCTACTCCATCTTTCTCCGCTCTCGGAATCTCTGAACTCGACAGCTCTAGGTTCTGTGGCTCGATCCTATCGAAAATAAAAGACGAAAGAGCTTCAAAACACTGAGAAAGCTCAAGGAAAGAGGATCTTTTTGAAGAATGTTGTTTTACATTTTTTCAGTGGAAGGGAGGTTGATCCAAAGCTGTAAGCCGTTGTTGACTTCTTCTGCAGGCATTTCGGAATGAATGATTCCTCTTCCTGCTGTCATCCACTGTAATGAAACCAGAATCAAAAAGGATGAAACCAGAAAAGTTAAGCTCAGAGGATTCATTCAATTGTTTGTTTTTCTTCACCTGAACATCTCCTTCACGTATTGTACTCTTATGACCATTGAAGTCTTGGTGAATGATTCCTCCCTGCATCAATTTAAAACCATGAGAATATTCAAATCAAGATTCAAGAATCTAATCCATAAAGAATATGGAAGAGTCTTTAATTTCTCTCACCTGAAGCATGTATGTAACACTTTCAAAACCTGCACAGAGTTGATCTAGTTACATCAGAGACATTACATAAGAGAAGCAAAATTGTGTACATATGTATAAGAATGAAATATGTGATTTGACCTCTGTGAGGATGATCTCTGAATCCACCTGGAGGTGAAACTGATCAAGAAAACAGAGCAAAACAGAACAAATAATAGCTGCTTAGATCCTATAATAAATCAAAATCAAAATCGTAATCATAATTTTTTACTTTATACATTGGGAAGTAAAAAATAATAATTACCGGAAAACTCTACTAGCGACACGAACGGGTCCAATAACTCATGGTCAGCCCTGATTGAAACCCACAAGAAACAAACATATATGAAACTTGAAGGTTAAGGCATTGAGTTTTAACGGAGAAAATTGAGAAAGAAGAAAAAGAAAACACACTTGGTGATGCCTTGTCTAATAACAGCACCATCACTTTCATCCTCAAAATTCGCAAATATCTTTTTCATGACCTGTCTCGATGACATATTGATGATTATGATGAGGATAAAACTCTGTTTTCGTCTATATATCTTCTGTCTCTGTTGGTTGCACTTAAAAGATCAATAATAACTAAAAGCTTTTTTTTTATGGATTTCTTTTTGGCGTGCTTACATATTTATGTCTTATATAAAAAATGCAAATTGGTTTAAAAAAGGAAATTGGGAAATTGATTGCTGCTTTAAGTAATTTATATTTTATACGAGTAATCATAACTGGAAACTTTCTATAAACTCTCTTAATTTATCGGGAAAATTTACATCTCAATATCTCATTATTCAGTATCTCAAAATGTGATGATAAAAATATTTTCTCGAGAACAAAAAATAAAAACCGACTCATCGACGACGTCATTCAGACTTCAGAGTCAGTTTCATCGCGACGTCGTTTAGAGTCAGAACTCAGATCATCGCGTCCCACGGTCCCACCGTAGTCAATCTAGTCCCGTTTTTCTCGCTCCCGCGATTCCATACTTTCTTCTTCCACTTCCCCTCTCCCTCCTTCAATCCAACCAACGCCGCATTTGAGTTTTTTTTTATGGATTCTGCTCTAAAACCCTAGTGAGTTCCCTCATTTCTTCTTTTGATCTTGTGATTCTGTATTGTCGAATTTTTCAAGTTTTATATAGCGGTGTGCTTTTGTGGGTTTGCAAACTGGGAACGCCGTGTCTTAGGGTTACGCTTCTGAATTTATCTGATGGGTTTTACTCATTCGAAATCATGTCTTTTTTTTTGTTTTTTTGTTTTTTTAGGCTGTAAATGATGAGATCTGTCTCTATGAATTCGAAAAAGAAGGACACTGGTTCCACAGATAGAATCAGCAATCTACCAGAAGCTTTGATTTGCCACATATTGTCATTTCTTCCCACAGAAGATTCTGCTTGGACTTCACTCCTCTCGAGAAAGTGGCGTTATCTGTTTGCTTACAGCCCAAATCTTAATTTCGATGCCTCCGTAAAACGTTTTCACCCTGGAACGTCTCGCAGAGTGAGGACTCTTATTCTGAGTGTTCTCACGTCTTTCGTTGACAGAGTTTTGGTTTGGCGAGGAGATGCTGCTGTCAACAAGTTCTCTCTAAAGTGTGGACAGGGCGTTGATCAAGAACGCGTCAATCATTGGATACTAAATGTGTTGGAGCGTGGGGTTTCGGATCTTGATTTACACGTTACTCTAGATGGAGGTCCTCTTCCTGCAAAGGTCTTTGAGAGCAAGTCACTCGTTAGGCTGAGGATAGAATCTGAAAATATTCACGGCGTTGATGTGAAAGATGTTCTTCTTCCAAAGCTCAAGACTCTTTACCTTAACAGAGTTATGTTAGGAGAAGCTGAAGATTGGTTTGAGAAGCTTCTCTCAGGTTGTCATGTCCTCGAGGAATTAGCTCTGATCAATGTCTACTCTGATATTTGGAAACGCTCTGTGTCTTCCAAAACCATCAAGAGACTAACTCTATCTTGTGCAGACTGTGATAACATTCCGGATACTGTTTGGTTCGATACGCCCAACGTTGTCTACTTGGATTACAGTGATTACGTGGGGGTCAAGTATACGAAAGTGAATTTTGGCTCGCTTGTTGAAGCTAGAATCGATCTGAAAATGAATAGTGATCAGCGTGCACATGCAGTCTTTGGACATTTGGTCGGCAATGCAAGAGACTTTCTCATGGGAATATGCAATGTTCAGACTCTTTACTTATCTGCCCACACTCTTGAGGTATATACTAGTGTAACATTGATTAATGATTGCATATGGATGATGATATGATTGATTTGGTTTTTGTTTCAGGTTCTTACTTTCTGCTGTGAATCAACGCCGGTATTCAAGAACCTGATTCATTTAACTATTCAGGGTGACAAAACAGGATGGGAATCATTGCCGGCTTTACTCAAGAACTGTCCAAATCTTGAAACCCTTGTCTTCCAAGTAACAATAATTATACATATCCCTTTATTACTTCTGCTAACATAGATACAAAACTAGATTCTGAAGGTGTTTCCTCTCTATGACTCAGGGACTCCGCCACAGGTATAGAATCAACTGTGAGGATGTTAACGGGTGCATATGCAACTTCTCAGGGGGGATTCCTGCTTGCTTATCATCAAGTCCGGTCAAGGTTTTGAAGATTATGAGGTTTGGTGTATATGATGGTATAGAGAATCAGATGGAGCAGATCAAGCACTTCCTGGAGAGACAATGCCGCGTCTTGAGAAGCTGACAATCTACTACGATACAGCAACTGATGATGATGTGAATGAAGTATCAAGCCAACTTAAGAGCCTTCCTAGAGTAGCTTCACCAAATTGCGAGATCCAAGTGATCTCTGATAACCTCAGCTAGAACCAAGATTTTCCTCTTTTTTTTTCTGCCTTTTCTTCTTATGTTTTTTGTGGCTTGGTTGATGCTTTGTTCTTTTTTATTGGGAATGCTCAATTATCATTTGCTTGTTTCGGTTTTGAGTGGCTCCTAATTTGTCATACTCCAAAAATAAAACTAGGTCTAATAAACTTTCTGAAACAGAGCACTTTTATTATTGCCCAAATAGGAACAACACCAAAACAATTCATTTAGGGTTTTGTTTCAAACTCTTTTTCACTGGCACATTCCAACGCTAACCCAAATCCCCAGGTCCACACACAAAAAAGTTAGAAAATGACAAAAAAACTTATTTCAAAAGACATCAAAAAATTTAAACAATTAGGGGAAAAAAACGACGTAGCAATTGGCAAGTCAATATGCCCAAGGGCCAAGGTGATAATTAACCAATTCAAAAGAAACCCTTATAATGGTTGTAAACAAAAAAAGGACCTCAAATATATTTTATTTATTTTTGTTAAAAACCCTCATATGTTTTCTCAAAGACACAATTGTACTTAAATTAATAACAGGAATTTTTGTTGTTAACTTCAATATTCCATTGGTTTTTGAAAAACATTGATACCTATCTATTAATTTAAGTTAAGAATTGTCAAAAACCCAATATGAAAAAACCCCCTGTTAATTTATGTTAACAAAAAAAATGAAAAGTTAATTTAACAATTTTTCATTATTAGAACATATCTCTTTTTTTACACCTAAACCTAAATCAGATGAATAGGTTTTATAACGTTTTATAGTTGAGACTTGACTTGGGAATTTTGTTCGTCCCACCGCACTAATCATTATTGGCCACGATCTCAGAATCCCTAATATTCTCGCAAACGATTTCTCCATATTTGGGTGATTTTGATGGGCTCTGGTTGATTATCCACTCAAATAAGTGAGTCTCCTCGTTTCTTCTTTTGATCTTTGTGCTCCTCGTTTTTTTTGTTTTTTTCTCAACAATTTGCTTTTGTGGATTTCTCCAACAAGTTGTGTTAGTTTTCCATTGTGTTTCTTTCCGATGTTGTAAAATAGTATACGACCTTTAACCTAGTTTGGAATTAAGAAAAACCCTTGGATCGAATCACTTACTTGAGATTATTATGTTATTTTGTTTAGGTCTCAAGTGTTGATCTGTCCACTATGAATCCGAAAAGTTGAACATTGGCTCCAAAGATATAATCAACACTCTACCGGAAGCTCTTATTCACCACATATTGTCATTCCTTTCCACAAGAGAAGCTGCTTCAACTTCACTTCTCTCCAGAAAATGGCGGTATCTCTTCGCTTTCGTGCCAAACCTTTATTTCGATGATCCGTTACGTATGTGTGCTGACAATTTGTATCGCCAAGAAAACACTGAGCTTCACAGAACTTTCATTGACTTCGTGGATAGAGTATTGGGTTTGCAGGGGAATTTTCCTGTAAACCGTTTCTCTTTAAAGTGTGGAAACGGTGTTGATGACGTTAGTGTCACGCGTTGGATACTCAAAGCGTTGGAGCTTGGTGTAACGGATCTTGATTTACGCATTGCACTAGATTGTGATGATCCGTTGTTTCCCCCACAACTCTTTGTGAGCAAGTCACTTGTTAGGTTAAGAATAGGAGCTAGAAATGGTATCGCCATTGGAGGTGGTCCCATCATTGGCGTGGAACAACATGTTTCCCTTCCGAAGCTCAAGACTCTCTTCATCGATTCCGTTGTGATAGGAGACCATACTAATTCTTGTCTCAACAAGCTTCTTTCAGGTTGTCATGTCCTTGAGGAATTATTCCTGATTAGTCTGTTGTGGTTTTATTGGGAGCCTTGCTCTTTGTCCGTTCCAACACTCAAGAGACTAACGCTTTGTAGTGAGGATCATGACGAAAGCCCAGAGAGTGTCACGTTTGATACTCCGGCTCTTGTTTACTTTGAATATTCCGATACTGTTGCGTTAAAGTACGCAAAAGTGAATTTCGACTCTCTTGTTGAAGCCAGTCTCCGTCTTAAAGTGGGGTATAAGGAAGAACATGTAGTAGAGTTACTGGAAAACGGAGAAGAAGGACCACCGTATATGGATTACCAAATGGTCGGTGATGCAACAAACCTACTTTTGGGAATAAGCAATGTTCAGATCCTTTACCTATCCGCAAGCACTGTTGAGGTTTTGAATATTGATCTCAGTCTCTTGATTGCAAATGAGTGATGAGATGAGATGATCTGATGATTGATTTGGTTTTTGTTTTTCAGGTACTCACGTTCTGCTGCAAAGCAATAACGATATTTAAAAACCTGACTCGTTTAACTATTGAGAGTAACACAGAAGTTGGATGGGAATCATTGCCTAATCTTCTCAACAACTGTCCGAATCTAAAAACCCTCATTTTCCAAGTACGAATCAAACCCTTTTTAAGTGCATCATGTGGTACATTTTTTAGTCATGGGAAACAGACTAACGTCTTTATTTGTTGCTTTAGGGACTCCACCACAAAGCTACAGATAGTTGTGGCAACGTGTGCCGCTGCAAACCTTGGGAGAATATTCCTAACTGTTTATCATCAAGCCCAGTGAAGGTTTTAAAGATACTCAAGTTTGGAGAAAAACTTGATACAGAGTTAGAGCAGATCAAGCACTTCTTGGAGTCAATGCCGCATCTTGAGCAGCTCACTATATGCTATGACACATCAATTGATGATAATCTCATTAAAGTATCCGAGGAACTTCAGAAGCTTCCTAGAGTGGCTTCACCAAAGTGCAAGATCCAAGTAATCTCCAATAACACCAGCTTGTCATTTACATTACCCTCTTCCTCATCCATGAAATTGGTTTCTCCTGTTCTTTAGACAATCTTTCCGCATATCCTCAGGTCTAAACTCGAAAACCAAGATTCTCTTGTTTCTGCCTTTAGCTCCTACTTTAGGGCTCATCCTAGTTTTGCCACTTGTGTTTAAGCATTTGATCTTATGCTTGATTCAGTACTTGGTGTGAGTTGCTATTTTTGTCATACAAGTCACTTTAAAAAAGTCTAATCTTGTCATCTCGATGTAATCAACTTTCTGAAACAGAGCATTGTTATTACATAACATTGATCTCATCTTGAATGTGAAATAACAAAACCCAAAAAATAATGGTTTTTGATACAAACTCTTTTTTTTTTTCACTGTAACCTTTGACACGTAGCCATTTCAAACCCATTCTTAGCATTCTGATAGTCGTTATAGGCCACATCGATCTCTGCCTGTGAATTCATCACAAACGGACCAGACTGAACAACAGCCTCACCGATCGGTTCCCCTGCAATCAACAGAAACCTCAACGGCTCTGACGTTGCCTTGTTCCACACGCTAACTAAATCCCCCGGTCCAAACACAACAACATGGTGCGCCGATATAGCGGAGGAGTTCAAGGAACCGAAGACACCTTCGTCGCCATCTATAATGTAGGCGAAAGCGGTCCAGCATTTTGGAACGGTCTGGTGAGTTTGAGATCCTGGCTTGAGGGTAAAGTCAAGGTACATGATTGGTGTTGTTGTGTAGAAAGGAGATTTGATTCCTATTGACTCTCCAGCTATGACTTTGACCTCTACTCCATCTTCCTCTGCTCTTGGAATCTCTGAACTCGACAGCTCTAGGTTCTTTGGCTCGATCCTGTCGAAAATCAAAGAAGAAAGAGATTCAAAACTGGAATATAACGAAACATCAAATCATTCACAGAGATTAGGTCATAATGAATAATTTGTGTGTTATACATTCTGTGAATGGAAGGGAGGTTGATCCAAAGCTGTAAGCCATTGTTGACTTCGTGTTCAGGAAATTCAGAATGAACGATTCCTCTTCCTGCTGTCATCCACTGTCAGATCAAAACCAAAAACTGAGCGAAAACAGAAAACTTCGACAGGATTTGTTGTTTCTTTTGTGTTCTGTTTTTTTTCAGTCACCTGAACATCTCCGGCTCTGATTGTACTTTTATCACCGTTGGGAAATTTGTGAATGATACCTCCCTGCGTAAATTTAAAACCATTTTCGAAAGTCGTTAGAACCTTGGAATCAAGGTTCAGGAATCGTGTCTATGGAGAAGATGGAAGAGTCTTTCTCTCACCTGTAGTATGTATGTAACACTTTCAAAACCTGCACAGAGTTGATCTAGTTACATCAGAGACATTACAGAACAGAGTAGGCTTTGTGTACGTAAAATTTATATGCGTGTATAAGAAGGTATCGGTGATATTGACCTCTGTGAGGATGATCTGGGAATCCAGCTGAAAGCGAAACTGATCAAGAAACAGAGCAAATAAATGGCTGTGCTTTTAGATTATCGTATAGATTTGTAATTTGGAACTTTAGGAAGAAATTTACAAGAAAATTCAACTAGCAATACGAACGGGTCCAATAACTTGTGGTCAATCCTGTAATAACCCGAAAAGAGAAACATAACTTGAAGCTGAAGCAACTTCATTTTACTGAGAAAATTTTGAGAAAGAAAGAAAAAGAAAAAAACTCACTCAGTGATGGCATTTCTAGCGAGAGTCCCTTCGAATTCATTCTCAAGCTTTGCGAAAACTTTCTTGATTACTTGTCTCGGTACGCTATTACTGCGGAAGAACCTGACATGGCGATAATGATAAACTCTTCTTCTTCTTTCTATTTTTTTTTGGTTTGAATGTAAAACGACGAAAAGCTTTTTGCTTGTTAATGGAGGAAGTTAGTTCTCTGTATCTGGTTTGTGGCGTGTATGTGGTGTGTGTGTGTGTATATATAGAGAGAGCGATGTAGAAGGCACTACTGCAGAGAATCGACTGAAACTGAAAGTTGTAGGTGAAGAGGAGTGGGTCCCATGGTTTGTTGTATGGAGTGTGGGACCAACGGTGATTAAAATCGTTGATGATGATTAACGAATGCTAAACGTTTCATACGTTGTTTAATCTGAAAGACCAGTTGGAAAATAATCGAAAGAATATTTGCGTTCACACTAGTAAATAAGGTTGTCAGGCCACGTGTGTGCCTCAGGTACATGACACGTGGAAACATGTGCACGTATATGAAGTGGTATGCGTGCGGATTTGATCATTTGATTCAATTAGCAGATATTTTCGAACTGAAAGTCCCAACTCCCAACATCGCAACATTAGCACTAACATTCACTTTTCACGTTCTGTTTAATTCAAGCAGCTATATCAGATTTAACGATTTGTTTTGTTTAGTGTAGTGTATCACTGTATTAGTCATGCGTCTGTTTACAGAAACATTCGCATATACTGTATAGGAGACTCTTAACTGTATTTAATTTGCTTTTTCCAATTGGAAATCCGATTGAGACTGGAAACCGGAAATCAGAACTTTATTATATTCATAACAATCTAAAAACTTAGAACAATAACTAAATAATAATTCGCAATGTCTTATCTTGAGTGGCGACAAGGTTTTGACCACAATTAAATGTTTTTTCATTGGGTGTTCACACTACATCTAATGTATTTTAAACGACTCAAAACCTAACTTTCTGATTAATTGAAACGAACAATGATATTTAAAGAAAACTTGTTCGTTGTCATACAACGTTTAATAATAATAATGGCGGCTTAACCAGCTAATAAGACAATTTTAATATTCTTCATTGTCAGGCTCTAGTAAAATAAATTAAAATTGAATATTACCAAACCTCATCAATCACATGTTGTAGTTGTTGTATACCCTAAAGTATGGCGGATGATTTGATATTTTGATGTCCGCTCCAAGTATGAACATCCGCATTTTACTCAAGAAGCATTTACGAAATATATTATTTCAAGACATGAATATTGCATCTAACAGAATGATTTGACAAATATTTTGAGTTTGTCCAGATCGATCTTGAGACTTCTTGTGGTTAAACGGAAATGAACATATATATATATATTCTAATTCATAGTTAGATGAGAAAAATGAAACTCCCACATCCGACCTTGCCTGATTTTCGTTAGCCGAAATGAACAATCCCAACAAAAGATCTGCCATAGTGTGTAAAACATTAAAAGCAAGCAATGAGAACACAATATATTCAGGATGTGCTCTCATAGATCCACAAACAAAAACAGCACACAACTTCTTTACTTAACATATTGATTCTTGTTGTGTGAAAAGGTGAGAACAAAAGACGGTTTCACTTTTAGGTGTACAACTGATTACTGAATATAGTTTAATGGAATGTTCGAAAAAGTCAAAAACTTATAGCATAGCTCGCTGGTTAGTGATTGTTCCATCACTTTCTACAGCTGTGGGTTCTTCTCCCCCACCACTACCCTCTTTAGCACACAAATCCATAATCCCAACAATACACACACACATTAAGAGAGGGAAGTGACGAGAGATATGTGAACATAGTTATTATATGGATTTGACTTTACATTTAACATCTTCTGTTAACCCAAAAGGCCTCGTGGCTGGCCCACCATTTCCAGCTGCACTTGTTTCTATAGTTTTGGTAATAAACCCAACACTGTTCGGTTACTCACCGATTTAGTTCATGCATCAATGATTGATTAGACTGAAAACAGAGAAAGTCATTCATTCATTCACACCATTCACAAAATGCAGCATTACTTGAATTGAAACAACTTGAAAGCAACATAGATTTTTTTTTTTTTTAAGTTTGAAAGCATCGCAGCTATTGTTTAGTTTCCTCTCCACTTGATTACAAAGAACACCAAAATAACAATGACTTCCATAGAAACTTCGGTCTCATGTTTAGTTTAGTTTTTTTGCTAAGAAAAATAAAATAAAAAATGTCTGAGCCCGGGTTCGAACCGGGGACCTCTAGTGTGTGAGACTAGCGTGATAACCGACTACACCACCCAGACGATTTATGTTTAGTTTCTTCGTCGCTCAGATTTTAACACAACAGAATTAACAAAACAAACTCATGAACTAAAATTTCTCCGAATATGTAAAAACGCAAAATACTAGCGAAGTACAAACAACAGAAAATGAGAATCTTGATAAGTAAAAGAAGAATGACCACATTAGTCATTAGAAACCAGAAAGGCTGTTCTATAGAAGCAATCCATATTTCATCGATAAGGAAATGAGAAAAGTAGGTGATAAGCTTAGGTTATCAGAGATGACTTGGATCTTGCACTTGAGTGAAGCTACTTCAGGAAGCATCTGAAGTTGGCTTGATACTTCAACCAGATCATTTTCGACTGATGTATTGTAATTTATTACGAGTTTTTCAAGATTTGTCATTTTCTTCAAGAAATGCTTAATCTTCTCCATCTCTATCTCCATGTTCAGATCTTCACCCTCATCGTAGGCTTCTCCAAATTTCATTATGGTTAGAAACTTCACTGGACACTGTGATAGGGAAGAAGTACATTTCTCCAGACCTTGGCACAAGCACACATCCCCACATCTATCTGTAACTTTGTGATGGAGACCCTAAAACATAAAAAGAAACATCTCCAACTTTATTGATGTAAAACGAGGCTAACACTCAACACATTCCTTTTCAAAGGGTTTGATTTGCTTACGTGGAAGACAAGGGTTTCAAGATTTGGACAATTCTTGAGCAGGTCTGGCAATGATTCCCATCCTACTTCCGGATTTGATGAGTCAATAGTTAGGTGAGTCAATTTGTTGAATACAGGTATCGCTTCATAGCAAAAGTTAAGCATCTGACACAAAACAAAACCAACAAGATTATACATCAACATTTCCAATCACTAGTTAACTAAATTCCTTTAGTAATGAAAGATTCACATACCTCAAGAGTTTCATAAGATAAGTAAAGGGTCTTCACATTGCATATTCCCATAAGAAACACTGTTGCGTTACCAACCATCTCTGTTATTTCCTCATCAACATCCGAT